ATGTAGTTTAAAATCTTTAAATGTAGAAATGTTCTACTTATTAATAAAGTTTTAACTATAGCATTTTATAAAAAAAAGAAAAAAAAATTTTGTTTAGAGTGTTTATAGAATTCTACTTTTGCTACTAAAATACTTTTTTGATTTGAATGCTAAATATACAAGAAAATCTATTAAAGAAAAAATTTAATCCAAAATACAAACTATTTATTATATATCTACTTTTCAGTATTTTATGTACTGTATATAAGCTTTATTAATAGCAAGTTTGTTTGGTGACAGAACCAAGAATATCATCCACTTCAGTCTTGATTTTTTAAACAAATTTTGGTATAAACTTAAAACAAGTAATTTATTAGAAAAATTTGTTTTGGTTAATTAATAATTTTAACAAAACTAATATATTTTATACTGTATAATTTTTTATATTTTAAAAAATATAATACAGTCAAACCTCTCTATAGTCACACCTTCGGGATACAAAAAACTGTGATTATAAAGAGGTATGACTAATATAGAGGTATTTTTTATATAGCTATAAATAATTGACAAAAATAAATTTGTAATTATACAAATTTTGTAACTATAGAGAAGGTGACTATAGAGGGGGTTAACTGTATACTACAGTATAGTAATATTAAAATATAAATCCAAACTATTAATTGTAGTAGATTAAAATAAAATTAGGTTAAAATAAAATTGGATTAAAATAAAATTTTGTAATATAAAATCAATAATCTATTAAAAAATACAAAAATTTAAAATATATGTTTTTAAATTAAAAATTAGCTTTAGAGGTAAAATTAATAGTAAACAAGTACTGTATAAGTTTTAAAAGATTAAATAAAAACTTTAAATTATTTTAATCCAATTTTATTATAATTCGCGATATAAATTTAAAAAAAAAATTTTTAGCAACCACTTAATCAAATTTAATAAATTTGTTTTATTAAATTTGATCAAATTATTAAAAATATATTAATTAAATTTTAAATAAAAATGCTTTTTTATTTTTAATTAATTCAATAGAAGATAGAGAGGCTAGATACTTAGAACAGCGCTTCCTTTATTAAAAACAAATTTGTCTAAAATAATTTACAAATTAAAAATCAAATAAACATATTAGTATTCATTATTTATTATATATAATCAAATAATTTATAACCAAGTATAAATTATAGACTTTCTAAAGTTATTAAAATTGGGTATTATAAACTATATAACATGCATTGTACCGATGCTTCAAGTACGTACTTACAAAACAAAAACAAAAAGCTTTTAGTTGCAATATTTAAAAAGCTGAGCCACAAATAATATTGATTCGAGGGATATGTAACTTATTTATTAAAGAATAATTCGTGAGATGTTCACGTAATTTGGACATTGAAAATTTAATCAAAATTCACTATCAATTACCACGATTGAAAGGGTTCTGATCAATCAAGAATTTTCAAGCTTCGTCTCGTTTACACTACATTTAACCCGTGAATTGATGATTAGATAACGACTCTACCAGGCGCGGTTCTTTGCTTTGGTCACAAGGCTTATGGAATGAGAGAAGGCTTTGCTCGTGTCTCGCGAAAATACTTTGATCGATCGATATATTTTAAATTTTCGACTATTTTATTTCACTTCCAGCAAGTTTTAGTAAAAGTTATATCATACCCGTTATTTTTTTAAAACATAATACCAAATATTAGTTGGTGGCTTTGCTGTATAAAATAAACATGTGGCGAAAATTTCCCTGGTTGTCAAGCTCGTGTAACCTAGTTCAAAATTCATGGTAATGGTTTTTTTTCTTTTTTTGAGCTTTAGAACAGCATCTTATTCAGTCCGCTATAATTTGTAAAATTTCTTGCATTTAATATTATTTTGTTGTTTAGGCTCTGCCCAAAAATTTGGTTTTTATTGTGGTATTGCTAACATGGAGCCTGCGGACGAACCACCGGGCGAATCTTTTCATACTGTTCCAATTTATCAATTTGACGCGTCTTCCGATAGTGATTCTGACGACCCAGGACGCATTGTTCCTCCCGTAGGACCTGTGCTTCAGACGCCGCCTACTCAGCCTACCCAACCTACCCAACCTACCCAATCTACTCAATCTATTTTATCTCATAGAATACCGGTACAACCTCCGCAACGTTCTTACACGGCTCCACTAATTCAACATGAACGACAGCCCTCAGAGGTATCAATGGTCGCGGAATCTATACAGACTAGGCCAAGCATGGACGATGACGATCTATTCGAGGATAGCACCAGTGAAGAAGAGCAATATCCGGAAGTATCTACAGGACTATCAACACGGTCTCCTGGAGCTCCAGTTTTACCAACTATGTCAGCAAGTCCGACTCCAGCATATGAAAGTCGGGGCATAACAGACGTTCCGGACATTCCAGGAAGGGTAGATACTCGGGGTATAATGCCTTCTTCATTAACAAGCGCTCCTATAAGTTCCGAAAGAAGATTGCATCGATCAAGTTTGGAACAAACCCAATCGCCCCAAGGTTTGTATTGTATACTTATTTAATTAATGGATTGGCGTGTACGAAATTAGGAATTACAATACTTTAAGATTGTCAGATTTCGTATATTTAACGAGACTGTTAAAACACATATTACAAATCTCAGTCGTGCAAAATGTCCGATAAGGTGATTATTTATAATCGAAAGATTTGTAAAATGTTCTATTTAATTCTCATTGTTATGATAAGAATTTAAAAATAAGAACCGTAATAGATGACGATTAATAGAGGTCTTTATCTCAAATAATATGTATAATCTAATTTCAAAAAAAAAAAAACCAATCATTTTTTTTTTGCAGTTACGCAACCTCACCCAGCCTTCGATAGTGCTGCGCGTGGAACACAAAAAGAGATATCTGAAAAAGAACGCCGTGATTCACGAACATATCATCATCATCGAGAATCATCAGATCTTTTGCCATTGACACTTGTCTCTGATCGTGGATCGAGCGGTCTTTCATTTACAACAAATTTTGCATACCTTCCGTCACCATTTGGCCGAGTAATAACACGTTCACAAATAATGGCACGGGTGGCTTGGTTCTCTCAATTAGCTATATTCAATATTGTCTATGCGGGCTATAAGCTAGGTGGACAAAGTACAAATACGACAACTAGTGATACTAATATCAACGATGGAAAAAATTACGCAGCCAACCTTATCGGATTGGTTATTTTTCCTATTATATTCTTCATATTATATATTGTCTTTGTAACAATTTGGACATATCTAGATCTTCGAAGAAAAGGATTTGACACGTCATTCACAGTCTTATATTATTCTCCTTTAATGCTTTTTTCAATATTTTTCGATGAAACAAGACGTGTAGATGTCTCCAAGTTTCATGAGGTTAATTATGGTGCTAAATGGTGGCGATTTGGAACCACTAGGGTTCGTGAAGGCATAATCATGACCTTTTATTGTTTATTTGTACTTGCATTTGTCTTGTCAGATGTAATTGGTCGTGCTATGAATCAACCTAATGCTGAAGTCTCAAAAGTATTTGGTGACTTTGTACCTTTCTTTTTTATGTTAGTTGTATATTTTTTAGGAGTAATAGTATTTATTTGGGTGGTTGTGGATGCCGTGGTAGCGGGTACAATGCACGGAAGTGGGGAGGGACGAAAGAGATTAGTTGGTGCGTTATCAGGTGCCTTTAGAATAAGGAGAGGATAACCGATTTTTATTTCTTTTTCCTTTTTTTTTAAACAAACATTTGGGTTAATATTCAAATTTTCTGAATTATTTATTTATCGTTTCTTGGGCAATTGGGTATACATGAGTAGATTTAATTATTTATCATATTTGATCAAAAAGAATGTTTTTTCTCGATTTATTCACTTTCAAAACCTCTCCTCTTGTTCGAAATTATTATTTTACAATTTCACCTTTTTCTATTTACCTATTTACAAAAGTCACAAGAAATAGTTATTAGTAGCGTTTCGTTATGTACATTTGTAAGATATATATAATCCATGTACGTTTTACACCGCTCTTTATATATATAGATATATATATACAACTTCTAAAGTCAATATTTGTATTTAATCGATCATATGTATACATGTTGGCAAAATCCCGACTTACTATAGTTTGGGATTTGTCCGCCATCCCAAATCCCAAATCCCAAATTCTAGCAACACCAATATCTCAAAAACTTTATTAATAATCTTTATTTAAACAAATTGTATATATTCTTATAGTTATAAATAATATATTTGCAAAATATTAAGATTATTTATTTGATTTGATTTTTTATAGATAGCAATTGTTTTTTTATTATTTGGAATTTGTCCGGGTTTTGCCAGCAAGTATAATCATATGTATAATTTTTTTGTAAAATTGTAAAATTCAGGTGTGCACGTACTGCATAAAAATAAACAATGTACTGTATTAATTGATTTTTTTTTTTTTATTTATTTATTGAAATGATCTGCAAAAATATCGATGATAATTTTGTCGTTAAAAAATTATTTTTGCCTATCATCAAAAAGGAAATTTTTTCTGATTGTAAATGTAAATGGTAAACTTATTATGATCATTACTGATCATAATCTATGACTGAATAGCGGCGTGATATTCGCGAATGGTGATATTTCGAACTGATGTATAATTTCATATTTGGACCCAATGACAATAATGTGCTATATATTAATCACGCTTTAAAGACCGGAACAGTTAGATTATTTCATACATCCTCACATCACCTTCAATGATGAGAAGATCTTAACTGGCTCGATTGAATAAACTAAAATACAGTTAGGTGCAAGATTACGTGGATCCGAAAATTAGAAAAAATCACCAAATACTCTCCGAAACCGTCTATCCATGTGATGCACCATTCAAAACATCGTGTAATATCAACTCGATATTAATAATTTAATCTGCTGGGCTCATGCTGTCCCCGACGCTTTCACGATCCATTATGTCTTTATTGCTCCCACCATCACCATTGTCCGCCCCATCCTTTACGTCTTTCACGTTACTACCAGTGGTATTGATTCCGTTGTGATCATTAATCTGCATTTTTTTCATATGTATCCTTTCTTTTAGCTTCACCTTTAAAACCTCTTTGAGTTTTTCCTTGACTCTTAATCTCAATTTCTGCAATCTTACCGACGGACTATCGCCTGAATTCCATATTTCATTACCTCGTTCATCAAAGCCAAGTCGAGGAGTACCAAGTTGCTCTACAGTAAATGATGCGCTTACTGATCCATAAAGTGCAGCTTCAAATACATCAAAATTTGACCTTAATAAACCGACCATAAAACCACCACAAAATGCATTTCCAGCACCGGTTACATCTACAACATGTGGATTTCTATTCCCATCTTTTAATGCTGTCCAATATGCAGGTATTATTTCTTTCCTTTCTTTTGTTGCCACCAAACAACCTTTGTAAGATGCTCGAATAACTACACACCCATTCCCATGTGGGCCAATCTGATATTTTAAGAATTTATCAGCCATGCATATTAACATTTCTTCTGCCAAAAATTTTTCATCCTCATCTTCATCTTCAGCGATTAAACCCAATAATGCAGCCGCTTCTTCGTGATTAGGTGACACAACATCCACCATTTTCATTGCTTCAATACATGATTGAATATTTTCCTTTGAAGCGCTCTCAGGTATAGGCTCCCAAACAAAAATAGGTGGTGGCAATCGTTTGTCACGTAATCTTAGAATATCTGTGACATGTTGCGAGGCCCAAATTGATGAACAAATAAAATGAAAAATTTTGGCATTCAAATAAGAACTTGGTAGATCCGCCGGAACCGTTCCTATAGGTGGTGTTTGATATGCGAATACACGTTGATTCGCACTTTTGAATGTATTTAACCCGCGAATAGAGGGTAGATTCGAATGCCATATTTGTGTAAGTGATATATTGAGCTCCAATAAACTTTGAAGGATGTTAAGGGGAAAATCGTATCCACTGTGAAAAGAATATGCTATACGTTGAGATTCTTGATGTAAAAACCATATTCTCATCCCTGTTATCGAAAGATTTTAATTTGTAAGAAAGGCGTAATAGAATTATTTAACGTTCAAACTTTAAAAGTATACCATATGTCGCGTACACGCCACCACCACCTAAAACATCTTTTTGGAAGGTTCCATCTAGAACAGATTGACAGTATGATTCAGAAACGATTTCTAGTATATTTTTTTCTTTTGTTTTTTAGCTAGTAGTAACTTTGCTCACCCGAAAATTTGATATCGTCAATGATACATTGACTTAACGAACATAATAAAGGATCCCCCATGACAAAATGCACGAAATGACCAGAAAAAGCAATTATTTTATTTTAAAGAAGTTACAGTTTATATGTTTGTAATAAATTTGCTAACACTAATATTCTACAGAAATTGGGAATAGATTTGGCGACATTCTCTATTTAAGTTCTTTAAATCTCGATCGATTGATTGGCAACTTGATTCACAATACTACGTTTATTATCTATATATACCAGATGCGTATACGCTATATATATATACGCACTATATATATAGCATTATATCGATATATTTATATGTATATATATATCTATATATCTATATATTCTATATATATATATCAGTGTTGGGTAAATCAATGGTCAAGCAAAAAATTGCTGGTTAAATTGGTCTGGTCAAATTGGTCAAATAGTCAAAC